CCTTGGGCGATAGACTGAGCAGGCACCAGTGTGCAGCCTTCAAAGATGACCTTGACTGACATCCTACCATGCCAGCTCCCAAACTTCCAAGTATCCCGAACTTCGCATTTCTCTATAGCAGCTATAGCCAAGACAAATACTCTCAGCAAATTCTAAAAAAGTGTAATTGTGGTTTTGTACTTAATACTCATTAATTATTTAGGACCAAATTTCATCACTCGAGGTTTTGGCAACCATATAATCATGGTGTGTGTGTGTGTGTGTGTGTGTGTCTCAGGTATATTCAGGCCCTCGTGTGTCAGTTGTATCTGTACAATGAGGACAGTCAGGAGGTCACCTTCCCATCACATACCTTCCAGTTGTCCAGGTTTTCAGAGATGAAGACAACTGAGAGAGACCAAGTAACTGTTCTGGGTGTTGGTGATAAGGCTGATAAGAAAAACCCTGTTTGGTTAAGAAAATGACGTAATCCTGGTTTGCTCATTTCCCCAAGCAGAGGTGAAATAATGACCTACAGTGAAAATCTGTTATGATTAGGGAGTTTAGACTAAGGCCAGATGTCAACTTTGTGGAACAACACTGCTGTGAGACCCATGTTTTCACCGATCTTGGAAAGTCTCAAACTGTATGTGCACAGCCTGAAGGCCACAGCACAAACATGGCCAAGTTCATACAGACCAAGGACGGAGGGACCTTCCCGGGTCACACAGTGCTGTCGTCGGAGTCACACCTCCCAGGTTTCAGTGCTCAGATACATTGCTGCATTTAATGAAGTTACTCTTAATTAACACTGGGGCATTTAAGATTGCAGTATTACTTAAAACACAGACATTTTATAAGGAAACCAGTGACAGATCTCATGTAATTCAAAAATGTTTTCTGGGTTCACGCATGGAAAAAGCTACTTCAACCTCAGGGATACTCAAGAAAGGTGACACTTAGTTTGGTCTTTGGGATGGAGCTGGTTGGCTTTGTTGATTTTGACCCCAGCCTCATCAAACAGACATGCAGTGTTTGGAGAAAATGAGCAGTGGAGGGGATGAAGGAGGTTGATGTGGAGCATGGAAGGAAGCATAGTTGGTTCCACTTTAGTCTTTTCCAGGCTACTCTAAGACCCAAGTCTGAGTAATTTATAAAGAGAAGAAATGTACTGCTGACAAGGACAGAGAGCAGCGTTTCTGTTTGCAGAACTGTGTGAACAGTGCGCAGTTTGCTAAGTGACAGTGGGGCTTCTTATCTACACGCAAAATGACAAAACCAGGTGCCATGAATAGAAAATTCTTCCAAGGTCAAAGGACTTGAAATTTAAGCTGTAAAACTTTTTATATATATATAATGCAAAAGGAGAGGATCTCTTGAACAGATAAAACAAAGAAAGATGAATAGAGATTATACTGAAAAAAGTGCTTGATATTATCATGTCAATGATTAAATAAAAAGATATATCAAAGATTTGCACAAAATATTTGTTACAATCTAACAAAAATCTCAATATGCTAATAACTTCTAATGGCAGCTGAAGTAATTAAATCCCTAATAGCTAAGCAGGCAGAAAGTTGTACTTGCAATTCACACTGAGGAAAATGCAAATGGCCAATTAAAATATGGAAAGGTTCACACACTCACAAGTCAAAATAAGATGTCACTTCACAGCCATTGCCATCTAACCAGGTGGAGCTTTGCCAAGAATGTCCAGAAGTAGCTGTCCTGGTTTATTGTTGGCTCTACACTATAGGACAATTTGACAAGCCCTAATAAATTAAAAATAGGAACCACCAAATTCTACTTGTTACACTCATACACACTCAGACACGCATTGCAACTGGGCAAAATTAAAATAAAGGTTAACCTTCTTTAGGGGATGGAAAAATGACCTGTGATGTATGTCTGGCTATCATGCAACAGTTATTGCCAGAAACAAATCATGTCTATATAGCGCCCAAATGGATAAAATCCAAGACCACAGTGTTGTGTGATTAAAAAAAGCAGCTTCAATAGGTAGGGATAGTGTCCATTTACCACATCTGAAAGACAACAAAAGAATCATGTTTGTTTGATATGGGCTTTATACCCACAGACACACACAGGCAAACACACATAAATACACAACAGCTTGTACAGGGACGACACACAGGTGTTGCTCGGAAAGTCACAAAGAATATATTTGACTTCTTGTATTCATATATCTTTTTCCTGAAAAGAATCAGATTTGAGAGCAGTTCAAAGCTCATTAACATTTGCACAATCTCAGGGACAGGTGAATCAGGATCTTTCAATCAGGATCTTTCATATTATTTTTTTGGCTGTTTGAAATATTTCCTAATTCCAGTTAATTTATAAATCTAGACATGAACTCTGATGAGACAACGTTCTCCCTAAACCTAGCTACTTTGCAGCTAGAACAGCTTTGAAGCCTCAGGAAGCACTGCCCAGTCAGATAGAGGACAAAGTGGCTGAGAGATTTCAGCACAGGTGGCTTTGCCCCGCAGGCTGTGTGGGCAGACAGATCTACCCTGCCTCAACTCCCTGCGAAGGGTAAGCATCACTGCAAACTCTCCATTCTGGGTTATTTGCAAAATATATCCTTAACCAGAGAAGCACAGAGTCTACAAGTAACGGCCTAAAAGTTAAAAGTGTCTCTCACTGATGCCTTGTTTGAAGTTTTGACTTCATTGCTCATCTATAGAACCTAGAGGTTCTTAATAAAAACCAGACTCCCAGCCTCTTTGCTAGATGCTTCTGGAATAAACGAGCCTTTATTCTAGAGTGCCCACCAGCAGCTGGCCCTGAAAGTTTCAGAATCCCACTGATCCACAGGTGCTTTGCCTCACCCGCCGGCCTCCGTAGGCATTTCAGCTCCCCATTTCACAGTTAAGAAAGCTCAAGGCTCAGGGCAGTCTTGCATAGGAGCAGAGAGATTCTGTGGAGGGTGTGATTTTGGCTCACACAATTCTCAGTTAATTTGTCATTACTTCCCTGTATAAGATGAAGGTACATTTCATGGCTTTAATGACATAGTCTTTACTTAATTCAGCAGGTACAATGGACATTGCAACCCTTAAAACTTTCAATAAAAAGCGATTTCAAGTGGCAGTAACAACAATATAAAGGATTATAATATCAGGAAGTTGCCAAGATTTAGCCAATCAAATCAGAAAGTAACATGTAAAAAATCATAAGAGAACACAAGAATTGAATTGAAAATGGCATATTTAGAGATGTGTGGGCTCATGGAGCATTGCTTTTCCAGGCAGATCCTCACCTAGGTATAATTCCCCACCCCTTTCCCAATCATTCTCCTGTGAGTCAGAGATGTGGAAACCCTGCTCTGGCACTCTCGCTTCGGTCTCCTCCCAACACATACCTCCTTCAGGTCTTCTGCATTTTGGTTTATTGGTTGCTGGTTAGAGCAAGTGACTTGGCTAAACTCTACCCATGATGCCTAGATGTCTTGAGCTGCTTGGACTGGACATTCACAGTCTTTCCAAAGTACACTTTTGTTAGAAACAGCTAACCCAAGAATTACAGAGACTACAACATCCGTTAGAATGTGAGACAACAGGCAACCTAAATACAAAATCAATAGGGGGATCGTTCATGGTCATGCTGACACGGACAGACCTGTAGGTTCTAAAAGGATATGTACTTACATATATATGTACCACACAGGTACATAGAGCACAGTCTCACTTACGTGAAAGAGCATAAATAAAAACATGTAGTTGGGGATCCATATGTGTATAAAAATATAGAGAAAATGGAAAGATGCATGCAAGTGAAGAGAATAGGAGGATTTGAGAAAGAAGGATGGGGTGGTCAGTGAGAGGGTTTTAGCTTCTGCGATGTCTGCAATTCTCTCATTTAAACTTAAACAGAGGGCCTGTACTGGGCACAGTGAGTAGAGCAACACCTGAGATGCCAGAATCCCATTGGAGTGCTGGCTCATGTTCTGGCTGCTGCATGGTCCATCCAGCTCGCTGCCGATGGCCCGGGAAAAGCAACGAAACATGACTCCTATGTTCAAGCCCTTGTCACTCCTGTGCAAGGCCAGGATGAAGCTTCTGACTACACCCAGCTCTGGCCGCTGGGCCATCTAGGAGATGAATCAGTACATGAAAACTCCCTGTCTTTCCAAATAAATCTTAGAAAATAAAATAGAAACTAATTAGTTAAAAGTTGAATAGAAGGCATTTGGATTACCTATGGCCCTAAATTCTAAAATTCTCATGTTGACAAATATTTCTAGTTACTCCTTTCTAATCATAGCCTCAATTATGAAGTTTGCAAAACTGCAGTTTCTCCCTGGAAATGAAACTTACTATTACATGGGGTCATTTCGTCTTCCCCTGTGAAAATCAAGTCCCCACCTCTAGGCGGCCTAATAGTTTTCAGGAAAAAATATGGGGTGGATTTAAATAGCTTCACAGAAATTCTAAGCACAAGACAATTCAAAGTGATAGATCAGATCGCTCAACTTATTTCCACATTAATTCTACTTCTTTACTGACAGCCTTTGCTTTTTCCAGTAACACCCAGGGAGCACTGAAGGTCAAATTTTGACAAGAGTAAATTGAGCCTCCAGGAGGTCAGAGCTCAGCCTGGGGTTTACAACCTGAGACCAGGGCTGGAACGTCCACCGTCCACCGGCTTCCCTCACCAGTCCTCAGCCAGGGCTGGCCAACTCGACCGCGTGCATCCCCGTGTCCGGTGTTCTCAAATATCGTCCCTGGCGATTGTCCATTTATTTACTGGCTTCAGACCCTATTTCCTCCCATCGCTTCCTCCTGGGAAACTGGACAACCCCCTCCTTGCCTCTTCCTCCAGCCCGGCGTGGTCCACCTGTTCCTCCGGCATCCCAGTTCACTCCCTTCCACTGCCGGTGCAGTTCCCCAGACTTCCGTGGACCCCCCTGCCCGGGTTGCGGCTCCAGAACAGCATCCATGGATGGGGACGGCTTGGGTCTCAGACGCCCGGACAGGATTTCACAGCCCCGCACTCACCTTGGCTACCGCGGGCGTAGCAACCAGAAGCAGCAGCAGCAGGAGCCGTAGCAGAAGCGCCAGCGACCAGGGCACTGTCCCGGAGCTCATGGTGGGTGCCTGCGTGTCGGGCACCCACAAGCTCTGGGGCCACCGGGTCCCCCGCCCAGTGCGGGGTGGGGATCCCCCGGCTGTGAAGTTCACCTGGCCAGCTCGCCGACTGGGTTTTGTAGTGCTCAGCCCCGCGTTCTGTCCCTCCCCACCCAGGGTTTTGGTTGTGGTTCCTGCGGAGGGAAGAAGTGGCTCAGGTCCCGCCCTCGTCCCCCCTCCCTCCGAATACACCAGGCACTGTCCCTTCCACTGGGCATCAAGCCCAGGAGGGAGAAGTATTGGGCGCCTGCAGAGCAGGTGGGCGTGGATCCGAGGTAAGGGGTTAAGGAAGCGACGCGCCCAAAACCCAGGCCGGGTCGGGGGGACTGTGCGGGTAGGAGGTGAGGAATCTGGGGGCGGGGGTGCGGTGGGGAGGTGGCTGCGCAGGGTGGAGGGAGTGGCCTGCGGCCCAGCCCAGAATAAGCTAGAGGCGTTGGGCGTCTGCGCTCCTCCGGAGGCCCGCTCCAGCTCCTGCGGCCGCACAGCCAACTGCTTTCCCCTTCTCCAATCTGTAGTTGCCAGACTTTGCCCGAGAGCGCAGTGAAGAGGCAGCTAGGTCGCAGGTGGACCTCGGTGAGGAGGCAGAGTCCAGAGGTACGTGTCCGCGCTGCAGAGCTGGGGCGCCCTCTTAGAGGTAAGGCAATCACTGGCCTGGGGCCCATGCCCAGTAGGGGTGGGCAATGGAGGAAGTGCCACATCTAAGCGTTGGCAGGAGGGGCAGGGGTCATCAGAGGAGAGCTTGTCTGGCTCCCAGGCTTGTCTGCCTGGGCTTGAACTAGGGCACTGTGTGTTTGATTAGTTTACGGGCTCAAGTTACCAGTCTGGCAGTTGGGCCACTACAAAATGCCAAGGGCAGGAAGCAGTCGAGAGGGAAAGAGAAAGCGCATCCTATTCTCCACCGGGCTTAATTAGCTTTCCAGGTTGAATCTTATCTGCGGAAACACAAGGAAAACGAGACCGGCTCTGGTCCAGTGTGACTCCTTCCTTGCCTTGGACATAAATGAGCATCCTCTGGCCTGCCAGAGCATAGATTTCCAGCAGGGCACCTGCTCTTTCTAGCCTCAGGGTCCACGTTGGACCCTCCGAAGCACTTAGACATCGTGGAGTAATGCTACATGCATAGAATGCAAGTAAGTCAGAATCGACGGAACTGGAATACAGTTCTCGTGCAGAGTATTAAAGGCGGGACGTGGGAACATCAGTAAATCCTTGTTAGTGCGTTCAATAGCTAGCTAATGGCAGATCTCCTAAACTACAATAACAAAAAAATAAGCACTGCCAATGTTGCTTTGAGATAGCTCCTTAAACTGGAGTGCAGCCTGAAGAATTCTAGTGGCTGCAACTCGGAAGAACTGCTGATGCTATTGTAGCCCATTGACTTATTCTCAAACATGAAGAAAGAGCTGGACTTTTGTGAACAGTGAATGAAAATATGGATGTCAATTTTTCCCCCATTCAAGTTCACAGACCACCTGACATTGAGCATCTGGCTGGGGACATAGGCGTGACCTAGTTTTCTGATGCCTGTAGTGGACTATACAACACCATGTATGAAGCAAACAATCAGGTCCAACTTTGGTTGTATGGAACCGCCTGCTTGCGATTAGAACCAAAGTGTAGTAGTAAGTTGGAGCTGCTTGTTGTTGTCTAAAGATTTATTTTATTTTTATTGGAAAGTCAGATATATGGAGAGGAGGTTGCAATGGCCAGAGCTGCACCAATCCAAAGCCAGGAGCCAGGAGCATCTTCTGGGTCTCCCGCGCAGGTACAGGGTCCAAAAGCCTTGGACCATCTTTGACTGCTTTCCCAGGCCACAAGCAGAGAGCTGGATGGGAAACAGAGCTGCCAGGATTAGAACCGGCACCCATATGGGATCCCGGTGTATGCAAGGCGAGGATTTCAGCCAGTAAGCTACCACATTGTGTTCTTGGAGCTGCTTTTATGGCTTGTTAAGTGTAAAAGTTGACTCCCCTTTGTTCTCTCGTTTAAAAATCTTTTTGCATTGGAAAGGCAGATTTATGGAGATAAAGAAAAGACAGAGAGAAATATATTCATCCACTGGATCACTTCCCAAATGGTCACAGTGGCCAGGGTTGGGCCTGTCCAGAACAACAAGCCAGGAGTCTCTTTTGGGTCTCCCCACTGGGGTGATGTCCCAAAGCTTTAGGCCATCTTCCACTGCTTTCCCAAGCCATTACCAGAGAACTGGATGGGATGTGGAGGAGCTGGGAGATGAACCAGCATCCATTTGGGGTGCTGGTGCCACATAGTAGAGGATGAGCCTATTGAGCCATGGTGCCAATTTCTTCCTGTCTTCTAGGCTCAATTGCCAACTGTGGCAGTGCAGTAAATCTCCATGGGATCCTTTAAGTATCCTGATTGCCAGTCCACCCCAGGTCAATTCTGTCAGGTTGTGTAGTGGTGATGCTGTTTTTAAGTTTTCTGGAGGGTTCCAAATGTAGCAATGATTGAAGTTATATGCACGTATTGGATAACTGCATCAAATTAGTGTATCTTCCTAGAAATATAACTGCATACAGTAAAGATTTTAGGATTTAGAAACATTCTGGAATTTGTTCCTGGATCACAGATGTTTGGGAGCATTAATTGGGAAACTACATTAATAGGGAAGATTTTTAGGGAATCGTCTGCTACGCTTAGGCATTAGGAAAGCAAATGTTCTACTGATGAGAGGATTTTCAAAGTCATACAATAATCTTTGAATTTACATTAACTCCTGACAGAGAGCCCTGTTGATACTAATTTTAAACACTCTTTTGCTTTTTGCTTTTCCTGAAACCAAAGTATCTTTATAATAAAAGATCAGACTTTTTAAAAAAAGATTTATTTCATTTTTATTTGAAAGGCAGAGTTACCGAGAGAGAATCTTCCATCTGATGGTTTACCCCTCAAATTGCTGCAATGCCTGGAGCTAGCTAGATCTGAACCCAGTATCTAGGATCTTCTTTCAGATTTTTCATGAAGATGCAAGGCCCCAAGGACTTGAGCCATTCTTCACTGCTCTCCTAGACCATGAGCAGGGAGCTGGATTGGAAGTGCAGCATCCGGGACAGAAACTGTGTTCATACAGGATGCCTCCCCTGCAGACAGAGGCTTAGCCTACTGTGTAACAGTGCTGACCCCTCGACTTGGCTTTCTCAACTTTGGAATGGGAGGCAAAAGCCACCTGCAGGTCATTGCTCAGGCAGTAAGTATCAAGGCAGGAGAGAAACCAAAGATGTCAGCACAGAGTGGAGGAAACAACAGCTAAGAATTCATTCCCTGGAGTTGAGCTGGAGCCTTTCCGTACTGATGAATGTGACCCAATGTGTCTGGGCTGAAGTTGCCCATTCTGGAATATCATGATCGGCATGACTCCCTACAGACAGCTTTAGGGTTCTCATAGTCCCTCTCAAAGCTCTTCTGCTGGGGTCTTCACATAACAATGGCATTTTTGAATTGAATTCTTTTGGTACATAAAGAAAACAGGTGGATATATTGAGACATGATGACACAGGGTAGAGATGGATTTTTTGGAGCTCAGTATTAACGGGGCAAGAGTCAAACACAGCTCATTATCTGCCTTGACATTCTCCGAACGATAGGACCTTGACTTTGCAACCTGGCTCCAATAACACTAATGTCCTATGGAGCTTGTTGAAATCAGGCCCCATCCAGACCAGCTGAACTGGAGCCAACATTTGCCAAGATTGCCAGGAGACTTACACACATGAAACTCTTGGAAGTGACTTGTGTAAAAGCCAGACTTGGTCATCATTCCATACCACACATCCACATTCTTTTGGGACTGTGATGTTCTCACCAGGCAGCATTTTCTCTAGATTTTACATTACAAACATACATATATAAAATTATGTAGTTACATATATCTATAAAATTGTATATACGTGTGTGTACACACACATATCCTCCCAGTGACATGTTTTTAAAAAAGACTTATTTATTTTTATTGGAAAGGTAGATTTTACACTGAGAAGGAGAGGCAGAGAAAGATCTTCCATCTATTGGTTCATTCCTCAAATGGCTGCAATGGCTGATACTGGTCCCAAGTCAGGTCCCTCCTGCAGGCTTCCCATGCAGTACAGCATTCTAAGGCTTTGGGCCATCTTCTACTCCACTGCTTTCCCAGGCCACAAACAAGCCGGATGAGAAGTAGAAGAAGCAAATGGGATACAAACTGGTGCCATTTGGGGTGTCAATACTTGCAGACGGAAGATTTATTTACTGAGCCATCTCAAGCCCCTCCCATAGCATCTTAAAAACACACTCCTAGACATTTTTTCCCCTACAGTTGGGCTTTAAATATGAAACAGAAAAAGGAGAGTTGGCCATTCCTTTTGTACATTTAAACAATATAAACACCTCTACTTGTGACCTTTTAATTTTTTTATTATTATTTTACTTCTCATTATCATCACTTTATGATACAGTTCCGTAGGCCCTGGGATGTCCCTTATCCTTCCCCATTTCCCTCCCCTCTCACTGACTTCCCCTATATCATTACTATAGTATAGTTCATGAAACACAGTCATATGTCTATTATTGCAGGCATGGAAATTGGCAGAGTCCAGCATCCTATTGTCAAGATATAGTAAACAGTTTCATCGGGAGTCTATCTTTGGTCTGGAAGTAGAGATGCATACTGCATTGTATCCTCACATCTGGATATGCTAGCCTCTGTTTTGGCTTTGATATGGGTTCTGACCTAACTGACCATGCCTTTGATAAACATTTTTATACTCCTTTTAAGATATGTTTTTCTGCAAGATGTTTAAATATGTTGTTTGTTTTGATGTATTTCAATGTAAATCCTATTGAAGGACATGAGGCTTTTGTGTTCTTTATAATTATTGAATAGATAAGCAAATGAGGTTGGTAGTGTCTAGTAAATGAACGAGTGAGTGATTTGAACAACTCTGTATCAAACTCACCCTGTTCAC